GTCGTCGTCGTCGTCGTCGTCGTGTGTGTGTGTGTGTGTGTGTGTGTGTGTGTGTGTGTGTGTGTGTGTGTGTGTGTGTATGCGTGTGTGTGCGTGTGTGTGTGTGTGTGTGTGCGTGCGTGTGTAGTAAGTACTGTGTACTCACGGTGAGGGTTTCGTAGACGAACTCGCGGCTGCAGTACTTGCAGGCGACTCGCCGCTTGCTGCACTCGTTCAGCAGATGGTTGGAGAGGAAGCGACGCTGCAGGGTTGCACCGCACTTCTCCTCGCAGAACACTGGCTCAAACTGACAGCTTCCCAGGTGGCCCTGTAGGGGGAAAACAGACGCTCAGTCACGATGCGAGAAGCGGACACATCCCACGTATCCCTCGCTTGGAAGTCTCCCCTTTATCCTGTCATTTTACCTAGCGTTCCCTACCAGCTCTATCCCTGACTTCATATCACTGCATGCCCATCTCCAACGAACCTCCATCCTAATTTGATCCCTCACCTTATCTGAACTTTCTTTATATTTACTTCCACATCTATCTGCCTCCCGTCGTCTTACTTTACTCGCTCCCAAGTGCATGTGTTTTAGATGGTTACCGCTAACCCGCGCGTTCCCGCCGCCACTGATGGCCGAACGAGGGCGCCACCTGTCCGTCCTCACCTCGAGCATTTCGCCGGTGAATTCGCGGCTGCAGAACTCGCACGTTTCCTTGCGGCGCGGACACGTGTACGTCAGGTGGTCGTCCAGCGCAATCTTAGCTAGCATCGCCGGACAATTGTTCGTGCAGGGCACCGCGTCGTAGCGACACGTCACCAGGTGGCTCTGCGAACGGAAAGACAGTTTGGAGATTAATCACGCGAGAACACGCGAGACAGTCAACTCCTTGGGCAAAACACTGGCGAAGATCGCGCCTGAGAAGCTAAGTGAAAGTGTTTCCCCTGTTACGTTGCGATGCGTGTCTCATAGTTTCATAGCAGTGCAACTTTCTTACAACGCTGCCACCGAATGGCGCTACCATCTGAGCTTCAGCTGAGTCTGAGCCTGAGAGACTGAGAGTCTCTCTGAGAGACTGAGAGTCTGAGTCTGAGCCTAAGCTCAGGTGTCAAACGAGATGGAAGCGCAACAATAAGATACTATAAAGATACGATGTTGGGCCATTCAGACAGGAATATCACAAGATACAGTAGTAGCTGGCAAACATCGATGATGTCTAAGCTTCATGATATAGGCAGAACTCAGTCGAATATCGACCAATATATTCACGCGTCCAACGGTCAACACCGTGCGACAGTGTTGTACCTACTGCATGCACTATTCAGCTGAGCATATATTGACTCATTGATCTCATCCAGCTCTCTGTCGCATGCAGTTTTCCTCTACTCGCTCTCTCGCTCGCCTCTCTCTCATGCACACGGAAACACGGACGGTGAGTATTAACGTCGGCAACTCATACCACGGGCACTACATGCACACGGAAACACGGACGGTGAAGTTGTTCGAACACGAACGGTGTTGAAATACGAACGAAGTTGTTGGAAATATGAACGGTGAATACGATCCTCTAAGTTATGCTACAGGCGCACTAGGGCCGTTTCAATAATTAAAGAAATTCCGATAAATAAAATGAAAGTAAATAAATACGATTTGTGTTTACTACCTACGTCTAAATGTGTATCTACTTTATATCGCCTAATAATTCCACGTAAATAAACGTGCAACGTTTAAATGCTCCTCTGCGTGACAGAATCTCACCACAGTCACGCCACTGTGCACAAACTCACAGAAAGGTCAAGAGTCAAAACACAAGACCAAAATTATACTTTTCTGTGAATTTGTGCACATTTATCTACACTTCAAAGAATGCGCGTGCTCATGAGTAGCTGGACAGTAGTTAACTGAAGGTTTTCAGTTTGACACTCAATCTGACATCTATGAACGCTTACCCTGAATTTGCAGCCCATGTCTTTGTACATGCAGCACACGGTTGCACCCGCGCAGGACTCTAGCAGGTGCGTCTCCAGTTTGTCACGCGGAATCTTTGTCGGCTCGCAACGGTTGGGACATAGCACGGGGAACCTGGGGCACTGGTACTGATGCGTCTGTAAGCAAGGCAGCTGTGAGCATCAAGCGACACGGGGCTGATAATAACGATGAGGAGTTGGTGGGAATGTGCAAGGAAGTTGGTTGCCGGACGTAAGTAATTGGCACTGTCGTTGCTTTTACATTTTTTTCGTTTTAATTTAGATGAAAATGTGTTACATTTTATTGATTTGCATGCTCTGTTTTTGAGCAGCGCAAACTAAATGTGTGTGTGTGTGTGTGTGTGTGTGTGTGCGGTGCGTGTGCGTGGTGCGGTTGCGTGTTGCGTGTGGTGCTTCTGGGCCGAGACGTGGGTGTGCTGGTGCAAATAATCGCGTTTCTCACTGTTACTCTTCCTAAGATGAAAGGTATTAAATAATATTCTGGTCCGATGTCCCAGCAAACGATTTTTTTTCCAAAGATCGCAAGGCGATGGGCGGGTTACGCGCGCGGGCTGCGTTCGCTCTATTACACCGAGCCGTCATAGTAGGAGTTGGAAACTTTCCTAGGGATCGTGTGGCTATTATTCCTTTTGAATTCTTTCGTGGTGCTGTGTGTGTGCTTGTAGATTGGATTACTTGTGTGTTCACGAGGCTGTGCTTGTGCGTGATCTTGTCGCTTTGTTTCGTGATAGCAGCATGTGCCGCCTTTTACGACTCTCGACGATAGTCGCTAGGTCGTGTGTCCTCACTGGCGAGTAGAGAAATTTTTTATATTTGTTACTCGGTTTAACTATTAAATTGTTATGTGAAGTGGTGTTGTGGTGCTTGTGCTGGTGTAAATGTGCGCGTTTGTTGGTGTGGTGTGTGTGTGTAAAATGTCGTTGCTTTTGTTTGTGGCTGTGTCGTTGCGTGTGGTCAGCTGCGTCCGGGGGAAGCACGGACGCGCGTGGCCTTGCGTGGGAGACAGAATATGGCGGTCTCTGCCTTGCTGTGGTGCGTAGGCGTCTGTGCTCGGTCGTGTGGCTGCGCCTGTGGCTGTGCGCCGTCGACCGCGCCGCCGTCGTGTGCGTTATGTTCTTGCGTCCCGTGGTCCGGACATTGTTGTCACCTCGCGCACACGGTGCCCAATTTAAAATATCAACTTACTCCGAGTAATTTATTAAGGGCAATAAATTTGATGTGTGTTTGTGTAAAAATGTGGTGCGTTTGGTTCGGTGTGTGTCGTGTGGTGCGCCAACGCAGCTTGAGCGCGATATTGTGTTGGTATAGATTTAAACTATATATTCACAATTCTACGTTCGCCGTTACCATACACATCACAACGACATTTGTGGCGATACATTAACTTCAGCAGTAGGCGGCGTTTGGTGGTAGGATATGTTGTGTGATGGTGTGTGTGTGGGGTTGCAGCTGTGTGTGTGTGTGCTGTGGTGGGCGCATTCGCAGCCCCCCTGCGTCGTGGGTGTGTGTTAGGCGTGGGTTAGCGTGCCTTCGAATCCACGTGCAGCTGTGGACCGGTGAGAGGTGCCCAGCGCGCTCAGCCAGGTCACATATGTGAGTCGCAACATTGACACAGTACTACTTACGGATCGCTGAAGCACGACAACACGAGGGCGTGTCAAGCAGTAATGTCTGTGTGTGTGTGTGTGTGTGTGGGTCCGTGTGGTGTGTTGTGGAGTGCTTGTGATGTATGCACGTTTTGTGTAGTGTGGGCGTTGAGTGCGCTGTGCGTGTGTGCGCTGTTGCTGTGTGCGTGTGACTGTGTTGCGTGGTAGCGTGTGCGTGTGTGCGCGCGTGCCTCTAGGTGCCGTAATCCGTGTACGCGTTGTAGGGTGTGCTACAGATCTCGTTTTGGAATATCAAGGGTCTTAGACTTGTGCTGGTGAGAGGTTGTTAGAATCGTCTCAGTCGGGGGTAAAAGGATAGTGACGTGTGTTGTAAGATGAGTGGAATTTATCCAAGGCATTACGGAGATATAGCGTTCCAGTGGTTCGAATTTCGCATCATGGTT